TGGTCGAAACGTGCCGAACACCTCGATTGATATATTTAAAAGTTTATTAAAAAATCTAAATGACAGCATTCCTTTAATCAGGTACTGCAGAAAACTTGTAATTTAATTTCTTCATTTCACATCAGTCGGTATGCTTTTTGCCACACAAGTTTTTATTAAAGTCATACAGAATACATAAAGAAAGAAAATAATTTAGATTATATTAGATTATATAATATTAATTATTAAAAAATAATTAAATTTTAAATATTAAAATTTTTATTTAAATAAGAATTTTTATTTTATAATTTAATATAATTAGTTTCTTATAAGAAAAATTATAATATATATGTACGAATTATGTCGACAAAGGGCATAAAAAAGAACAAAGAATTCCCACGGTTGACTGTATGTCGATCATGGAATTATAGCACATGCTATATAGTTTCGTTGATAACAGTCAGATCTGAGTAATATATAATATAATAGATGACAATATGAGAAATGTGTTTTATCTTAAGAAAAAAAATCCTTTAATAATTAGAACAGCGGGGTACAAGGATAAGCCTTATGTGTTAGGAATATGTAAAAACTGTTTTGTTGCGTAGGAATCCATAAAATTTATTAAATACAAAAAACCTATTACATCACATGTTTTGGAAATAGTTTTCAACCAGAAATAGACGTGCCTCGGTTAGAACCTCATGAGCTGCGTCATTGCCCCAAGTGCAAAGATATTACATCACATGTTTTCCATTAATATTGGCGTGATTTTGGCCACAATTTTCTTTTTTTTTTTTTTGAACAGAAACAAATAAAGATTAAATAATTTTTTTTAATAATAGTTATTTTTAATTTTTTATTAAAAATTTAAAAATAATTGATTTTTTTATTTATATTATCTATATTCTGATACTTTCAGAAGTAATTTAATTAGTTAAGGAATTTATTTCACTTTATTCATATATTATATAATTTAAATTTAAAATTTTTTATTTTTAACAAGAAAAAATTATTATTAAATTATCTATTTATTATTTTAAATTAAAAATTTTAAATTTAAATTTTGAATCATGTAAAAAAAAT